TGTCGAAAGCTTTATGGGACCACCCACAGAGCGCTCGAGCGCTCTGTGGGTGGTCCCATAAAGCTTTCGACGTCTTCTGAAAATGACCCGACGGAAGCAACATCTAGTCGGACTTCGCAGCACGGATATGAAAAGAATGTCCCGTCTTCGTGACCCAGCGGAACACGTTGCGAAAGCCAAACACCGATGGGCCGGTTGCATAATGAGAAGAACAGACGACACATGGACACTAAGAACATCTTAGTGGATTCCTCGCGAAGCCAAACGTCCTCGAGGAAGACCACTGACGGGATGAGCAGACGTGTTCGTGGAACTGATGGATCAGCTGAGAAATCAGCTGGATACGACTTTCGCCCCTAGAACTCGTGGACGCAGCCACCGACGACGGCCAAGAAGATCGTGGATGTCTGAAGCGAGAAACAGGAAAAAATGGCAACTTCTGTACTGGGGCCCGTACTCACGTGAGGCTTCACGCGGGCCATCTAAGTATCTAAGTTTCCTGATTCGCTCATTCTAAAAGTTGTGACAGTGATTTAACACATGAAGTTTCCCAATATAATCGTTTATTATGCGCCTGTAAACCTAAGAATTGAAGAAGTTCTTGAGTGGTACTTAAAACTCGGCAAAAAATTGTGGGTAGCTTTTTCGTCGTTTGCCAAAAGTCTGAAGTTTCAGCTAGAGTCTTTTTAGATAATGGCATCAATATTCTAAAATGATCTAGTAAAGTGTGGAAAACTAAATAGACGCAAGCCTAGAGAACAACAACCTACGCATATGACCGACGCTGTTCAGATTCTGAAAAAGATTCTGATTATATGATAAACTATATTCACGACAGCTAACGAGCTTGCAAATGTCTCTTTTGTAAAATTCCAACTCGTTTTATTGAGCTGATTCCAAATCCACCTTTCAAATCTACCTGCTGCGCGGTTCCCCGAAAGAAGTTGCGGTGAAAGTTGTGAATTTATTAAATTTTAATGCTAAGTTGCTTTGAAAACCAGTTTTGGAGTACATATGCGCCAACTTAATATCCTGTTTCGCCCATATGTGACAGTACCCTTCCCACATTCCACACCCGATGAATTGACAAAGGTATTTAATCTTATCTATATGAACTGATTTCAGCTCAAACATATTAGGTGTGCGCGAAAGTTTTGTCGGTTTTTTCAATCCATCGGCAAACACGCTAGATTGAAGATAAACAAACGCTTTAAAATGTATCCACAGAATTTCTTCCTCTTTCCAGCTGCCAAACTCCCAATGTGTTTCGTTGCGAAAGTGACAAGATTTTTGCTGGAATTACAACCACTCGTTTTTACCATCTCCCACTTTCTCTAATTTTCAGAATTTTCGTATGAGACTTTCGGAGGAGCCCTAATAACCAGCAGATAGAGCAAACCTTTTGCCAACTTGTGCAATTTTTTCTTTTTTTCAGCTGCTTTTTCAGATTTTGGCTAAATAATTTTCTAAAAGTTTTGTGTTTTGGCAAAATAGCACGACCTGTCATCGCACCAAACACTGCAAAACCTATGAAAAACTGAGATTTCAACACATGATTATTACTACCGTTACCAATACACAGTAAATGAGCAATTTTCGCTTCAAATTGTGAAGATTTTGAAACATAGGTTACGTTAGTGCGCATTTCTGAAATTGAGAAATACTGCAATTTTTCCCACAGATTTTGCCTTTCTCGGCAAAAAAAGACAAGTGTTAGAAAGAGGAGAAAATTCTGCATCGAATGGTTATTGAAATGTTCAACATATTATGTTCTACTAGGTTAAAATAGGCTGATTGTAAAATTTGGTCACTTCAAAAAATAAATCGTAGAAATTCTGAAAGACAAGCCGTAGGGCTACAAAAAATTGCTTCTGTTGGCAAAAGATTTGCCCTATCCGCTGATTATTAGGGCTCCTCCGAAAGTCTCATACAAAAATTTCAAAAATTAGCGATAGTTGAACATGGTGAAAACGAGTGGTCGTAATTTCCAACAAATGTCTTGTCACTCTCGCAACGAAACACAATAAGATTTAACAGCTGGAAAGAGAAAGAAATTTTGCATTGGATACATTTTAAAGCGTTTGTTTATCTTCATTCTAGCGTGCCGATGGATTGAAGAAACCAACAAAACTTTCGGACCCACCTAATACATCGTACGCCAAAAGATCGATTTTATCATGGGTAACCTACAACAGCATTCATGAATGTACGTGTACAAAAATTCGGAGAATTTTCGCTTATTATTTGGGATATATTTGTTTGGCGCCAACCTCCAAAAGAAGAAATCGTGTATTTGGTCAAGTGGCACCTCTGTTAAACACAGTTTGTAAAATAGAACGCGAATCGCTCTTCAATTGTTCAATTACTTTTGGCAAGCTCGCCAAAGAAACGTAATACAAATTGCATAGTCATAGAATAAGATTTCTATCGATCTTACCAAATGAGCAAATCGAGCAATTGTTTTAGAGTATTCATTTTGAGCTTTTCGATTAATTAGTGTTGCATGTTAAATGCTTTTTTTAGAAAAATACCTCTTCAACGAGTTGTTTAATTAGTACATATTCGCTCATTAGAAAATATACTAGATTTTGAAACATATGCTACTGAGTGTTGCCCAAACTGCGCAGTTTTTGAGTTTCTGGAATGCTTATCCAAAATCACAAGAACTTGATATTTTCCGTTTTTATCTCTTGCCTGCCGCGAAGTCGCAAAGCGCCACAGTTAAAATTGTTATTTCATCCCAAATCAGGGCAAGAGTTCAGAAAAAAAAATTACAATCCTTTTAAAAATTGCGCAAACGGACGAAGTTTTGAGCAACTAATTTTTACTCAGCGGTAAAAAGAATTTTTCTGGGTATATATCAGGTGGTCCCAAAAGTTTTGTCGATTTTTTCAGACCACAATAAGACCATGAGCAATGAAGACTTGAAAGGGTCATAACATGCATCCGATGCAGCTTTTCCTTCTTTTTCTTGTGGTTGCATTTTTTAACGGCAATACTGTATGCTTTTAATAATTGCTAAAATTCTTCACCTATCATATTTATCTCCTCAAAGTCCGGCTAATTTTTAAAAATTTCGTTCCAAAGTTTCTGAAAAGGTTACGCATGGCCTAAATAGAGCAATTCTCGGGTTTTATATTAATTTCTAGATTTTCATGATGTGCTGTTTTTAGCTCTAAAAAATTATTTTTTCGAAAGTCTCGATTTTTGGCAAAGTCATGAAAACGCAACTGCAGCAAAACATGGAAACTCTTGAAGTTTTTGCAAATTAAAACTTGTTTGTTATTGAACATTATCTATGCAAACAATCCAAGTTTGATTGCATCAAAAAATCAGCTTTTGGAATTTTTGGTACTTTCACGTGTTAGACGTAATCAAAAAGCCGCGGTGTTTCTTGAATAAATAATCACATAGACTATTACGGACTCACAAAAGTGCCCCATGTAATTTGAATTAGGTACAATGTAGCCACAGGTTTGCTTTACACAAAGATTACCAGCGCTCTTTGGAAATGTCAAGATAAAAATTTTCAAAATTCGAAAACGTTTAGCTTTACTGTTGAGCTGCTCAAAAAGCTATGTATGGCATCGCAAAGATAGGGTTAATCAAAACGCAAATATAGACATAAGAAGGAAGATGAAAATCTGAATCGGGTGGTGCCTAGACCGTTTATGGATTGGTGTTTTGTGAATTTTAGTGAGTGATGAAAAAAAACCGACAAAACTTTCGGGACAATTTAATATTTACAGATTCACACAAACTGATTTAAACATCGTTGAGGGTTATATTCATAAATTTACACTATTGTTTTGTCTCTTCCCCGCTTCGGTAGAAGTCATTTTCAGAAATTATTCTGGTTTTTTACCCCTCTATTGAAAAAATCACTTTTCTCTCAAATTAATTTTACAGTTCATCTCTTATCGTTCAAATTTAAATGCAGAATGTTAATGTAAGATCGGCACTCTCCACATGAAGGATCTTTGCTGTGTGTTGCAGGAAAGTATACGGCGCCGAGGCATGCCTGCATTTGATGTCCAAAGCGCTCCTTTGTTCGCGAGCACACAGGGAATGACCGTTCCCCAAGTAAGCGCGGAATGGTTGTCGCACTTGGCTGCAGCAGAAGCGTTTAGCAGAGTTTGCCTTTGACCCAGCTGTTTTCAGCGCGACGTCTCCCTGCCAATTTTTGAAAGGCTAAAAGAGCCATTTCAAGTGTATTTTGATAATTTTGAGAATCTCAAAAGAGTAATTTGATCTTTTTTTGAATGCCCAAGAAAAACAGTGCCGAAAATCGAGCCAAAACTTTACTGTACGTCAACCAACAAGCAACATGACGATTATTTTCAACGACCATCAATTTTTCCCAAAAAAGGCGGCTGTGAAGTTTGATACAGGAAATTTTTTTCAGAAGAGGGGGGCGGTGGGATTGATGCAGGGGCCGCGTTGAATGAGCTTGTCGGCCGAACCCGGCTTTTTGTTTATTAGTTGGAGACACAGAATCTTGCCAATTCTCAAAGCTCTTATGATACTTGTCAACTAAAACCTTTCTAATAATATTAGTTGTTCCCAAAATTCTGTCGAATCTGCAGGTTGCCTGATTTGAATTGTTATAATTTCTTAAATACAACTTTCTCCACCACAAATTCTGCTGGACTATAGCAGATTTCTTCTCTGATGAAGTTCACAATTTTTTTTAAAGTTTTTAGGACGTTTTAGGAGCTTAGGGTTTTTTACTTTTAGGACAGGCAGTATTAACTTGTATTCATTGCTATAACAAAAGGTAGCAGTGGTCAATGTCAGTCATTTTCAAGTGTATATTTTGTCGACTTTTCATATCCTCCTATTTTGGAGAACTTGTTTACACTTGTAAGAACCATTTGGCTTATTTTAAAGTAGCGTGGGAAGACAGGAAAAAGCGCGATTTTTCTTTATCACCTCTCCATTACTAGCAATAAGTGAATGATGCTTATCCTTGAAATAGATATTGATATCAAGATCAACAACTCAACATTTATTTTCGGAAGGTAAAGCATTTATCTTCGAATCCAGCAGGCAAACTTCTTGCAGGCTTCTCTCCATGTAAGGTTCTTCATCTTCTTAAATGCGTTACTGAAGAATTAGAAGCGAAAAAGCAAAAATAAGTGCTTCTTACTTCTCTATAACTTTTCTTGATAGACTCCCTGTAATATTCAAGTTGCGCGCAGGATCCTTTTATTTTGCCATTCTTGCATTCATTTTGTATGTCCTTGAAAATGAAAATACCTTTACCAACTCACAGAGCAGATGTTGTACAATAAACACACCTTGAAGTCAACCTTTTTCTTACGAGACAGTTTAAAGAAGTAGGGGCACACCTCGCAGAAAACTTCGAGGAACGGTTTAAGGATATGACATGTAGCGATTTCAAAGATGCTGAGAAGCAGGAGGGTAAGAAGCAGCTTCATAATTCACAGCTTCTGCTTCTGAAAGGTGTTTTCATAATAATGCGCTGCCATTCTATAGAAAGCGTGTGAAATTGTTGCTGAATTACATTCCTGCTAAAAGCCAAAGGAACAAGATTATGAGAGCAGCGGACAAAAAACACTTAGAGTTGATAACAGAATTTCTGATCGCTATCATCAAAAAAACATCAATTCAACAGCACATGGTCCCAATTTCAATGTACGCTGCCTGTGCAGCAACCATGCTAATGGACGTTTCGAATGACACTAATTTTGTGTTAAAACTACACCGTACTTGTTAGATAACAAAAAGGCAAATGTAGCTTTGAACTGCAGCTTTCTCATGCTTATTTATAGTCAAATCGTCTTCCGTGGCGTAAAAAGCTCGCTGAGCTGCTGGAGTAGTACGTCAACGACTACATTGGACGAAATAAATTTTTGAATACTTCTACCTTTTATTTTTGCGAATAAATTCTGGAACTTTTCCGTTATCCAAATTTCTTTCCTCAACTTCACAGGAAAAATATCAACCTCCTGCCTCCGCGAGCCAGAAACAATTGACATATCAGCTAGTTTATCAGGTTTCGAGAAGAACTTGTGTAGATTTCCGCCATCGTGAATTCAAAATGTTTCTAAACACTAATAAGTCAATTCTTATTTAACAATTCCAAAAGTGACCTTTAACACTATAATGTCATCCGGTTTTTAATGAACGAATCAAATTTGCACACAAAAAAGTTTCTTCGTCGGTAGCGCGTTGTTTTGACATCATTTATTTACTTTCCTCTTTAAATTTGTATGGCAAAAACAGTAAGCAGAAAGATTGTGATTGTTTTTTGAGTTTCGTTCAACCCAAACGTCAGGCTGTAATAAAGTGTATCATTAGAAACCTGTAAGGCACAGAAGATTGAGATCAAACAAAATCGTTTTACTTCTAAGAAATACAGCTAAAAGCTTAAAAGTCAACTCAAATGCTCTCGTATTTCATCAAAAATCTAAAGAAAACATGTCAAGGTAAACCAAAACTCAATTTTTTATCCTGCTTCGTGGCAAGGGGGCAATCTGTCTTCGAATCTCTTGAAAAATCCTCCTAATCTAAGCACGCATATTATGAGATTCTCTAAGAAAAAGGCCCCGATCAACGGAAAAAAAACAACTATAAAGTCGCAGGGCTTCTTTGATACTTGTATTGTTGTCTATTGTGTCTATCTAGTCCTTCTTAGTCGATTTGTATGTGTTTATTTGGTGTTTCAATGGTTTTACTATGTTTTGATTGTTTCTTGCTGGGACCGCGCGCATGCACATCTTTTCGGGCCGCTATATATGGCGGTTGCGCTTGGCTCAAATGAGTCTCTACGTTGGTGCTACGAAGAGTGCGGTCGGGTTTCAATCGAGGAGCCAAGCCGAGAGGACGTGGACGCGACGATCGCCTGGAGGATTGTTCTTCAATAAAGGATTATCATACTCCTGGACACCCCGCCGAGCCCCCGCAATAGCGCCTAAAGTAGGCCTCCTATTGCGTGACACAACTAAATTTCCAGTACTAGGCTATTACGAGAATTCTGTTCTGATTTTTGCTGTCTTGTGTCCAATGCAGCTATTAATGAAAAAACATTCACTAGGAATAACTGCGAGTTGCCCGTACTTAAAAAGAACGGGATCCTGGTTAAAAGGCTGACAGTAAGATTTGCTCATTGTACTATGACAGCTTTGCGGAAAGGTAAAATAAGTATGCAGAAAAGCATTAAAAAAGATTTATGCGGCAATCACAAAATTCGCCGATATCAAAAAATTCACAGAAAAGTAAGCATTCACCTGCAACTTTGCTTCCTTCTCTTAGATAACGCATTTTAGAACTCAGACGCCTCGGGGGTCACCTGCAGAAGTCCCATAAACGTGCTGCCGAAGTTCCCAAATGAGGTGCTGCCGAAGTTCCGAAGGATGCGAACCACAGCAGCAAAAAAGAACAGCTAAAAAATTTCGACCTTACTCTATTGACTGCGAGACTATCTAATATCCTCCGCACTTCAAACCATATGTTCTACAAACGGCACATTCAGAAACCGCGGAATTACTGGTATGTCAATGTGTTGGTGCTGCGGAACCGCTGGTATTATATTTCGGAAGTTTCCAGCGGTGTGTAAAAAGTCCTGCGAAAGTTCCCATTTTTAACCAGTCTAACCTGAAAATCCTGCAAGAGCTCCCTTTTTCGATGTTTACATTTTTGCAGAGCAAAGAAAATCCTGCGGAAACGCTACAAGTTTTTTGTCCTTCGTAAGTTTCAGTAAATTCTGTGAAAAGATGAAGAAGCTTACATAAAACGAAAACTGCAGCCACTTTTGCGAGGTGTAATCAAATCAGGTTCAAAACCAATTGTTACCTTACCTCAAATGTGATACAATGAATTTTGGTTTTTGGTCAAAAGAAGAGCATTCACATTCTATTTTTTTCTTTTCGTTTTTCTGTTTCTTCCACAGAGTTTATATGCGTAGGTTAGTAGTCTTGTTGTATGTTTTGTTCTACAGGGTGTTCCACAATTACAGGGTGTCCCAAAAGTCTTTAAGCCTAGTATTTCTTTGACTAAAAGTGCGCGAAACACCGTAAGCACATGAAATTTGGGATATAAATTATTGAAAAACCTACGTAATAATAACATACACTCAGATTTCGAAATATCATCCTTTGGCCTCCACACAAGCCTTCAGACATTCGCGGAACGCATCCACCGTGGCACGCAAGTACTCGACGTCGATACCTTCCCATGCCTTCTGAAACGCTCCTTCAAGCCGGCCAAATTCCAATGAGGAGTAGCGCATGCCTTGCTCTCCAAAACTGACCAGACGGAAAAGTCAAGAGGGTTCAAATCTGGGGAGTAAGGCGGCCATTTCTTCGAGGTGATCATCGCGGGGAAGTTGGCCTTGCCGACTGAACGACTTAGGCCTTATGGGAGGGTGCAGAGTCCTGCTGAAAAGTCCAAGGTCGCCCGTTGAAGTGGATTCGGCTCCAAGGAGGTACCTTTTCCACAAGAATGTGTTCCAGATAATATTCTGCGTTGACTTTTACTCCTGGGTCCACAAAAACGAGTAGCTTCTTCCCGGTAGAAGTTACGCCTGCCCAAACCATCACCTGAGCTGGATGGCCTGATCGGAAAACGTAGCGATGTTGAGTAGAGGCTTCCTGGACCGATCGAAAAAGAATCCTGTCGTTTTGACGGTTGTAGGTTTATTCTATCGTGAATATCTTCTCATCCGTGAAAAGGATGTCTCTGCTGCGTGCCTTCGTGAATCGCTTCAAAAGACTACGGCATTTTTGGAGTCTAGTAGCCTTCATCTGTTCCGTCGAAGCGTGGCTCTTCTGCATTTCCAAGCTGCGGAGTCCCAAGCGTTTTCTCACAATTCTGTGAACTGAACTTCGGCTGGTGTTGAGCTCTCGCGCCATTTTTCTGATGTTTCTCTTGGGATTTTTTCGGATTCTCTCACGGACCCTTTTCACCATCTTTGCATTAACGGCTGTTGCTGGTCTCCCGCTTCTGGGTCGGTCTTCAATTTTACCCGTGTTCCGAAATCGGCGGAGAGTAAACTGGATACTGCTCAGTGCAATACCAGTGATTTTCTCGATCTGCTTCTGGGAAAATCCCTCCTGGCTCAACTTCACAATCGTGACGCGCTCTGCTTCAGACACCATAACTTGAGAATGAACCGACCAAACTTCACGATTTTTTTAAGAGATGTGGAGAACCAGATTTGACAGAAACTGACAAAATTTGGCTTGAAAAGACGAAAAACTGGCAAAGTTAGAAGCTTACAAATTCAGGCTTAAAGACTTTTGAGACACCCTGTATTTGCGCGTCATCAAGCGCCATATGAACATAAGACCGGCTCAGCCAGCGGTCAAGCTTGATATTGTATTCTTGGTTCTACAACACTGCTAGTTAAAAGAAGCAAAATAACTGTTTTGCTTTTCGGTAAAAATTCATAATATTTATCTGACTTTGTCGCGTGCTGCACACGGGTAGAGGCCCACAAACATGCCCAATAAGTATCTTTTTTAGTGATCGCTTCTCTCAGGTGAAGATTTCGCCATAAAATAGATTACTTCAAATCACCGAGGTTCCGGAATCTTTAGGAGCATTCCAAACGAAAATTTCGACTATTTAATATTTTGCGTCAGCTTGCGTTTTTTTCTCTTACGAACATTGCTTTTTGCAATTCTTACTTCTCTAAATACTTATATTTTGGCGCAAATAATTTCGGCGCACCCTGAAAAAGTAGGCGAATGTCTCATGAGACCAATTTTTTCAGTAGACGGACTATATGGAGTGTAAGTATATGGAGTGTATCGCAATTTTTTCAGTAGACGGACTATATGGAGTGTAAGTATATGGAATATTTAATAATTTGCGTCAGCTTGCGTTTTTTTCTCTTACGAACATTGCTTTTTGCAATTCTTACTTCTCTAAATACTTATATTTTGGCGCAAATAATTTCGGCGCACCCTGAAAAAGTAGGCGAATGTCTCATGAGACCAATTTTTTCAGTAGACGGACTATATGGAGTGTAAGTATATGGAGTGTATCGCATAATTCAAGTTCTTTTTTTGTCTAAAATCAATATGATCAGTTGCGATGAGTTGCGGAATATTTTGCAGCTTTTGATGTTATTCAAAGCCAAGCCAATATGTTCATATTCGATGACGGAAACGGTTCTGCTTTGAAATGGTGCTTTAGGATGAGACAAATCGCATCGACTTAGATATAGCTCAACTAATCGAATTGCTACCAAGAAACGCTAGCTGCTCCATTGCTCATGGTGTACTGTGACCGAAATTGGCAGACTGCTACATCTCGTCAAGACCATTTGCCATAAACTTATTACGGCATTTGAGGATGGATACCAAAAAAGTTTGGATATACTTTATGTGTAAGAACGCCACGGTTATTTCACATCACTTATGGAAAGCACAGATTGAACTGGAGTTTGACCACGATTTACTGAAATAGGTAAGTATGAGCACTAATGGTGTAGCGGTATCATTGTACCCTCACACGG